TAGGCTATATATTAGTGGCGGGGCCGGACAGCCCAAGTTATCGTCTGATGTAAATACTCTCATCTTTACCGAGACTAAGTGGCTGGCGGGCTTCGAGAACTATTAAGCGGGTATCCCAGGCAAGCATCTTCAGAGTTTTCCGTACACACTGAAATACACGTGTATGTGTGTGTGTGTGTGTGTGTGTGTGTGTGTGTGTGTGTGTGTGTGTGTGTGTGTGTGTGTGTGTGTGTGTGTGTGTGAGCTGCACAAAGGAAGCACTGCTTACACACGTTAAGGAAAGGGATATACCTCAAAGTCATTTCCTTTCATGGAAAAGTTTAAAACTATATGCGATTGTGTTTGAATTAACCAGTAGTAATTTTAAAAAAAGATTTCGTGTGGTTCTTGTAGAGATGATGGGATGGGAGGTTAAACTATTAATAATTCGTTTTGTAGAACTGTCTGTGTTATAGTGGGTAGATCTGAGAGAAGTAATCCAGGGTAGGAATCACAGCTTGTAGAAAGTCATCCGTTGCCTAAAGTAAGAAGGATGTGTTGGTAGCCAGGTACGACAATCTCTTCAGGGACAGTATGACAACATAATTTGCGTAAATAAAAGCTAAATAAGCACGTAGACGAATGTAAGAAATTAACTCTTTGAGAATGGATGCAAGTGGTTGTGTCAGGTGTGTGAGAGAGAGATGGACAAAGGTTCGAGGCTGTGGTCCTCCTCTTCTCAGGTGTAGAGTGACGGGTGTGAGATTGCGTTTGTTAGCGGATGATGGATGACGCTCGTTCACGATAAGAGCTCAGGCATCAGAGGAGTTGTTTACATTTTTAAGGGTTGATTTTTAAGTGTACATTATCTCTGCATGAATATTAAATGCACAACTGTAAGTATTTGGGATCATTTTATTATTATATGATGGCCAATTGCAAGTATGTGGGTTTTTGATACAGAGATGAAATGGGAGACAGTATGTATGTATGAACTTGGCATTAGTGTTAAATGGTTGATTGCTAGTGTGTAAATTCTGTTGATGGATACAGATTTGTCAGTTTGACAAGCTTTCATCTATGACTGTCAAGTTGCTGGTATAGTATTTTTAGAAGACATATCCAGCCGAAATGAAATCCACCTTCTGTCAAATGTTCACAGAGACCATATTTCAGGCATTTACATCAGAAGATGACTATGCATCATTCTAAGATTACATGATTTCCAAACACAATAGTACAGTATTTTAAGTCTGCCGCTGCTGTGTACTTTAACAGAGCAGGAATACATAGTCATAGACCGCAGTAACTCTATGTGCAGAAGTACAGGAATCTCTAATACACTTGCCTTGCTACAAGGTTAAAATCAAGCGATACAAAGGAACAGGCGAGAAACTCAGTGTGCTTCATTCACTAAACGCCCAAACTTTTATTCTGTTCCACTGACATATATAGCTTCTAACACCCATGGCTATTTACACCACTGCCTAAACATTGCCGACAAATGATGCTACTCTCACTAAATAAGTTACCTGACGTTTCCTTCGGTTTTCCAAGTTTTAAGACTGCAACAGTTAGAAGAACAGTAAACTAGAAGTCATTTTAAAATGCAGGAAAAGAAAGAAATATTTAGCTAATTCACGGGAAGGGTAAGCTTATGTCAACCAGTCAAGCTGATTCACTACCCTGATCAAAACACTCTAAGATTCAACACTTAAATGGCAGTACTTGGAATTCCTCATAACAAAAACAAAGATAAATAGTAATCTCTCATTCCAGAAAATTAACACACGCTCGAGGTACTAATGTATTTTCATGGCAGGGTACATTTCTATTTTTTTTATTAATATGATTTGGATTTGCTTTTAAATATTTCACGTGTCAGATAGATCATCCTCAGAGATGATAATATCTATATTTATGTAATTCCAGGAACTGCTAAAATAAAATAATCAAGACTTTTTACACAGCAGCCTCATTGTCCATCCGAAGTTTGCCACTTTAGGTCATCCTGCTTGATGGGTGTACTAGCTAACCATTTTTTATTTGGACCTTTCAAAAATGCATAATTTGGACCTTTCAAAAGTGCATAATTTGTGTGGAATTATTTTTGGTAATAAAAAAATTGTTCAGTGAAAACATTTTGTGTGAACGAAATATGAATGGAGACGCAAGTCTCACTTGGCAGCCAGACTTAGTGTGCAGAGTCCGTGTGAGGCGTTCTAGTTTAATGCGGAAAGCCTCATTATTCAATTTGTTACACTTGAGCTGAGGATACGAGCTGTGGTATTTTGGGTGCTCCCTTACTCTCTTCTCCCTTACTGCTGGACAGAAGAGAAAAAAAATAACAAAGCAGTTGACAGCGTTATTTAAAAAAAAATAGCAATTAACGTTTATTTGTTCAGAAATTTTCACAAAGAAGGTTGCTGCCATCAGCACCCGTTTTCAAATGTCTTAACAATTTGAATTAATCAATGACAGTTTGCCACTGTCGTGATTAACATACTTCCATTTCATATATATCGTAATAAAAATATAATAAAACAATTCTAATCTCATTAGTTAAGTGAAAACCGTATTCATAATTTACTTCAAATCATAGGTTTATTAGTCACTGCAAAATTGTAATGAAATGTTGAATCTCCTAGCATTTTTAGGCCGATAAACTGAATTCCTGGAGTCAAAGTGAAGCACCAACACACCAGATAACCGGAAAACTTTCGTTTAAAAGATAATCCTATATTTCAACACTAAATCACAAGTCTCCACACAAACTTCAACAGGCACAAGATGTTAGTAATTCTAAACTCTTTTTTTTTTTAATGAAGGTAGATAAACACACTAGTTGCAAAAGAAGTCATGACTTAATAACGCTCAGCACAGAATGAAGCATTTCCTCAGTTAAAGTTTGTTCTGTACGTTGTGGCTTCGTCTTCATTCTTGTCTTGTATGTATTGTTGTGAAAATCATGTCCTGGCAGATGAACTTGGCTTTATTCCGCTCCTTCACTTGGAGGGCCTCGTTCTAAGGTTGAAATATAAAGTATTCATCCTAACCTCTTGTTTTATTGTCTCTGGGACTTGTTTAGGTCACTGACTAGTGTTGATTGCACTTTTGAGTTCATTGATGTGAGTTTGTTGTTTAACAAACTCGCACTTTGTTAAAATTTGATGTTAGTGTTTACTTCATTACGAATTAAAAATGAGTGTGTGTGTGTGTGTTGTGTGTGTGTGTGTGTGTGTGTGTCTCACCTATTTGTGGTTGCAGGGGTCGAGTCCTAGCTCCTGGCCCGCTATGTGTGTGTGTGTGGTGTGTGTGTGTGTATGTGTGTGTGTGTGTGTGTGTGTGTGTGTGTGTGTGTTGTGTGTGTGTGTGTGTGTGGTAGCCGAATGATCTTACATTCTTTTTCCCTATAAACATTGCGTTGTCTCTGATTTAAGTGTGGGCTCTGAGCTCCGTAGTCATAAATCCAAGGTCACGTCCACACAGAAAGGTTGGCAGTGCGGTAAGTCGTTGGTCTCTCAGTACACCGAGTGAACGTTGCCGTTCATGCATTTACTGCAAGAAAGATGTTACTGATTCTGATTATTATTATTATTATTATTATTATTATTATTATTATTATTATTATTATTATTATTATTATTATTATTATTACTCATGAAAGGTCGCACATCGCCAACGCAACACCACCCTAGGATTTCAGATTCTCAAAGAACAAATGATTTTCCTTCAAAGCGAATAAATCGTTGCATAATTTTCATCTCTCTTTTCGACAGAGAGCTATCACTAACAGTCTGACTGGCCAAGAGACCGAGTCAAGATTAGGGGACGGAGGAGCGAGCCTCCATCGATCCTGGCGCTGAATGACCGTCATAATATTTGTCATTACTAATCATATTATCGTCAGTCCTCAAGAATGTCTATAGATTATGACTTTGAGAGCCAATACATGTACCGCTGAAAGCTTCTGGGGCTATGGGAAGAGACAGTTGGGTCGCAGTTAGTGCCGCTGATACAAACATGTCACCAGAGGGTGTTTATAAA